CCTGGGCTTCCAGCAGACAGGCAGTGAGCGCGGAACAGGAACGTGGATGCAGCTTGCCACCTTACGACTGTGGTTTAAGGCTGTTTTAAAGGGCGTCAGTGCACACTGCCCATCACCCAGTGCCTCTTCATTTGTTCTTCTGAGACATCAGAACCCCGTAGAGAAGCTTGCACAAAATCTGTACGGATGGGAGCAGGCTTTGTGCCCAGGCAGAGTGCTGTATGCCAGCTGATATAGCATTTCCAGAGCAATAAATGACTGAACCGATCCAATGGATTCTGGTGCTTGACTTTTAGGGAAAATGTTCAGGCATGTTCTACTCACAATATAAAAAACATTTCCTCCGTGCTGTGAGATTATCTAAATAAGCCACATCAGCCCTTCCTCATCAGAGAGATGTGGTGTTATTTTTAAACCTGCCAAAAATTTTTAAGCCAAATGGTGTGGGATATTACAGTTACAGGGCCTCAAAAGAGTTATTTGTCTCTGTTTATTTTATTAAATATTCCTAGACGTACCCTTAGGATGACAGATCAATAAGTGCCTTTGCGGTTTCCTGATAGAAGGCAGCAATTATTTTCTTCCATTACAATATAAGCATAACCCAATTTTACTCATCTATCATGTGTGTAATGGTAATAAAGAAGCATCACCATGTGTTTATTTTACTGTCACTTTATCTTTTGTTTTGGTGATCTTCTGTTTTCATTTCACGTTCTTCCAACAGTTCGTGCCTTTCATTTGACAGGAGCTGTGACCAGTCTGAATTGCTTCAGGACACTTGTTGGGAACATGGTGGCAGAAGCCTGTCTGTGGTTTCTCCTTTCCTGTAAGGTGAATGGAGTACTTTAGGCTTTCACCTGAACCTGTCTGTAGAAGAAACAAAGCCACAGGACCTTTACAGAGCTGAATTTGGATTTCATTTTTAGAGGTGCTTTTCTATAGAAGTCAATAGTGATTGAAGTTAGGTATCAGAGGACAACTGGGCTTACAATTCTTTAGCACATACGAGATGCAAAAAGGCTAAACAAAGCCCATAAGATCATGATCTATCTAATGACAAATGAAATGTATAGTTGAGATTGTCAAGGCTAAACTCAACCCATCTTCCTGACTTGGAGAATCACATTTAATCCATGATAGAGGTGCAAACTACTAGACTATGTCTGCAAACGAAGTAAGCAGCATTTGTCTCCTCAAGTACTGCTCTGCTTTGAGGACTACCACACCAGGGCTCATAGTGACTAACTGTGACCACATAAACTCTGCTAAAAGCCTACATCCAGTTTTCTCTTCATTGTGGGTGAGGAGATTCCTGAACAGTGATTCAAAACCCTCCACAGCAGCTACCTCTCAGATATCTTTGTCCTGACTTGGGCAATAAAACCCCTTTACTATGACTCCAACTTTTTTCTTTTAATTCAAAGCCAGTTCTCTTTCCTCCTTGCTGTCATTGAAGTGACAGCCAGCTCTTAACTGAAGGAAATTATCAGGAAGTGCTAACCGGTCACAGCTCCGCTGAGGTACATCTGATAGCAATCAGATGCACCATCGGATTCACTTTTCCTAACCCTGACTTCAGTGAGCCCAGGCTTTTGCTTAATCTGTATTTCACTTAAACACAACTGGAAATGTTTTATTTCGATTTTATAAAGTTTTCCATGAGCTCTGGAATAACTGAAGCACAACTGTGTCTGGATTTATATCTTGTGGTTAGTTGACTTTGCTGTCCAACTAAGCTCTGACAGACACTTTTCCCATGGGTGAGCAATACCTGCTTTGGTCCCTGTGAGTCCTTCTGATGTTTATAAAGGGGCTCCTTAAACTTCATCAGTTTCCATAGCCTAAGCATATATTGGATCTGTCCCCAGGTTCACACCTGGATTCACATCCTTAAGATTTCTTATTGTTGAGGTTGTCAGGACAAATAACAGAAAGACAGGCATACAATAGCATGACTACATAAACTTCATTCCTTTAGGAAACAAGACTAAAAACTAACAAACTTTGTCAACCACATCGAGATGAGTTGAAGTATTTCTTTTTAAATGCTTAAAATCTGAGAAGAACAAGTTGAGAAAGTGTTTTGGATGTTTTATTCTGGTTTATTTTGGTCTAATTCTATCTTTAGCAGCCTCAGACTAAACAGTCCTGAGGGGCAACCACTTATAAAGATGGACTACCCAAAGTCCAACAAAATTATGTACAATTGTCTTGTGGGACTTTTTTTGATAACTTGAAATGGCCTTCATCAATCAGACTCTAACTGTAAATTATCAGATAGCACTCCCCTGCAAACATTGCTAAAGGCTCATTTTTCTTTTTAATGTTGAAGTTAGCGGTATACCATATTCACTGCTGTACTGTTTTGATTGTCCTATGACTTAATCTCACAGTGGTCAGTGCCTTTCACTTGCATCAGTGGTCTGTGGTTTCATTCTCTCAACATCAAAGAGAAAGATCATCTTGGCTACATTACAAAAAGCAAGTTTTGAATTTTGCCAAAATAAACTGAGACATACTCTCAGAGTTTATAAAAAGATTTCTTTTAAGTTGAAGGTGACTTACAAAAAGATGAAAAATGGGTTATGCCCTCATCTACGTTTTTATAATGTACAAAAAAGGGCCTAAGAAGAGTTGAGGGGTTGGGAAGCCTTTTTATTATTATTATTTTATCTCCAGCACAATCAAGGAAGACCAGATTTGACATTCCTGACAAGCATAAGAAATAATGTTCTTTCCTCCTGCCTGCTCCTTCCCTTCCTTCACTTTCCAACCTTGCAGGTCTATTTTACACACCTGAGAAAAACAGGTGTATAAAGCACGCTTGGCAAATTCTTGCCAATCTTTTTGGCCAATTGAAACTTGAAACTACTCACAGGACACTTTTTATTGGAGTCTTAATGAGTCCTCTGGAATAAAGCAAAGGAAAAGGAATGGGAAAGCTTGACAGTCTTGATATTTCGGTGTTAAGCAAACAATCAGGACAAAAATTTCTGATTGCCTTTATGCCATTTAAAGGAACCACAAGAAATCACAGAAACATTTTTCTCTTTATCAGTTTAATGTAGCAGAAATCAGAGTTCTGATGACATTTCTTGAAAATGGGCAACTATAATAAACCTTCTGCAGTATAAGACATTCAGTTCTGATATGCAAAGCAGCAGCAGACTCTGGAAAAGCTTTTGAAACAGGAAAGTACTTCCCAGCATGTGAAAAGTGGCAAATTATTCTGTCAATATTTTAATGGTATACTTTGCTATGAAAAGATCACCTTATGAAACGGGTGTATAGGCAAGTAAAGAAAGAGATAAGTTAAAGGCCACAAGCTTTAAAGACAGTCACTCACAAATAAAATACCCCAGGAATAAGGAAAAAAAGTACTTTCAGAGAAGAACAAAGTTCACTGTTAAAAACGAACTGAAAAATGAAAATAAAAAAGGATATCAAGACCTGAAATGAAAAATTAGGACAGCAATAACACAGTGAGGAAAGATAAGAAGTTACTGTGCTGAATATTTGCTAACTTGCTTTTAGTTCCTGAAAACTGCCTTTCTCCCCAGAAAGAGGGAATAAAATGCTACATCTGTTGTGGTTGTTCTATCAGCATCCGCTGGCAATGCCTACATCTGTGTTGAACACCTGGAGCTTGCGATAAGCAGTCATCCCCCGACATCACGGCTGTTGTGATGATGCTCAGACTGGGTCAGACCCTACCTCTGAGCACATTCCTGCTACTGGGGAGAAGCCACGGCAGCTCTGCAATGGATGCTTCTCCCCAGACCACTCCATCTCACCCCTGGCAGTGAGGAGCAGCCCTTCTCTTTCACGCAAGAGGCTCCCACCTCCAACCAGGGCACGTGCCAGCACCCCGTCCTGAAGCCCTGTGCTGGGCAGCCGTGCTGAGGAGGACTCTGGTGGTATTGGGGTGATGAAGGCCCGTGGTTCCCACCCTCACCCTGAGCCATCCCAACAACGGGACATGATAGATCCCATCCATCTCCCAATGCAGGTTGAGCTGTTGCTCCGTCCTGACGCAGGCCTCATCCTGGCTTGCGAGGCTGAGCAGAGCCCTGTGATAACCGCTCTGGCCCTGCCCTCTGGTAGAGGACAGCGTGCCACCTCTGAGCTCCAATTTCCTTGTATTTGTGAAAAGAAAGCTCCCCGGAGAGGACACTTGAGGCCCTGCTGCATAAGCAGGTACAATTCAAAGGTCTAATGTTCCATGTTTCAAAACAAATGTTAAAAGTACCCGACTCCCAGATTCTGTATTTCCTTTACAAGAGCTGACACCGGCACAGACACTGGCCAGAAGGGAAGAAATAACTTCTGTGCTTCCTCCACTCACAATATTCCAGATGGTTGGAGAGCAGCAACCACCTGAACACGTGGTGTACGGAAAGGCAACCCTCCCATCCGAGACCGTCGGTATCCTCATTCAGATACACTTTTCATAGACACTTCTTTCATTAAGAAAACTGATTTCAGTGGGACCGTTTCTGTATCAAGCATGAGTAACTGTATTACAAGCTGGCTCTTCATGGCATGTTCCAAACCAGCTCTTTCATTTTTTTCCAAGGAGGACAGTGATTCAGCATTAACATAGTTTAAAATATGAGTGATATTTCAGGGACTCCTGAGTGCACATGGATATGAATGTTAATGAATAATTTTTTGAAATATTAAAAGAAATAACTGCCTAAATGTTCCATTTTTCTGCATCACAGTCTCTCAAGAAAAACAATTACAAATTTAAGAAAAAAATCAACTTTTTCTTCCCCCCAGTTCCACTAGTACTTTTTTAGCACCATAAGGACCTCAGTGATTTTCATACTCAATTTACAGGATCTAATCCTTACAGAGATGAATCATCAGCAATGATAAGTAATCTGAAATGATCAGGGACTTACATTTTGTAACTGAGGGGACGGCTACCTGGCAATAGAGTAGGCAAACAGAGAACAAGAGTCCCCAAATGTAACAAATTAATTGTTGCTTACCCTGTTCAAGCAGTATTTGCTCTCTTTCCCGTAAAAGTGCTGGAGACATTTCATGTTCTGCTTGTCGACGATCTTGTTGAAGAACTCGTTGATGGTTCGCACGGAGACGGCGCAGACAGCAGATCTGTTGGTTGGTTCGGAAGAGTCTGGTTTGCTTTGTGCAAAAACACCATAGAGAATATCATCGTTCAACCCAAGGCCCATTTCGTGGGCTAGAGCTGCACCTGGCTTGCTTACGTAGGCAGCTTGCAAAATGTTGAATACCTCCTTTCGGATGGATCTCTTTCTCCGCTTTTCGGTAAAAATACACTCAAGTGGCATTTCCATGTAAGAACGCATCTCTGAGTCTAAAGTGCAGAAGCGGATAATTCTCGTGTGAAAAGCTTGGGAGTCGAGAGATTCTCTCTGGACAGTCAGAAAATAGACAAAGTGATCGTTTTCAAAGGCATGGACATACCTAATGGGATACGAGCTGCGGAACTGAGGGAGGATATCTATATAAGACTGATCTGTGAGAAATTCAAAACCATCCTGTGTTTCTTTTAACCTTCGAACCGATATTGAGTGCAGCACATGGGGAGGTTGAAATGTAGAGGTCACAGTATTTCCAACAAAGAAGTTGACAAACCTGTCCTTTTCGGTCACCAAAACTTTGGTTCCTAAAGTGCTTACAACACAGTCAGGACAATTATCTGTCTCCCCGTCCGTCCGGGGTGAATACATGCAGTGCACCTCGCTTTCGATGTCAGCGGGGTTGTCAGGGTGAATGATGTGACGGTGGCAGATGCCTCCGGACACACTACCGCAGCTGATGAGCTGGTCATCGTAATAAGTTTCTAAGAGTAGTGCCATGTTGACATTATCCCTCCATACACTGTTAGATAAATTGGCTTTATCCTTGCAGTCTTCACATGGCGCACAGTCAGGGTTCTCCAAAATGGGCCCAGTCTTGTACACAGAAATGTTCTGGAGAGTTTCATTTAGTACGTAGATCTTGTTGACTGCTCCAATATAAACATGATGCTTGTACAAAACTACATTCTGAATCGGTGTTTCTGCAACGAAGTTAGGAAGATCATATTTTACACTCAAATTCATCTCCGATTTTTTAGCTGCTTCTTTGCATTGTCCATGGCTCCTCTGCAGCAAGGCAAACAGGAATATGATAAACCCAGAAGGATATGCAGTAAAAGGCTTCATTGTCAGGGATTTAATCTGTCAAAATATATTTAAAGGAAAGAGTGGTTATATTTCATATACTAAAACATCAGTTTATCAGTCAACAGAAATCCATTTCTAGGCTGCATGTATTAGCTGAACTATTTCAGCTTAGGAAGTGTCATAATCTTGCTTAGTGTCATTAATAGTCTTGTGCTAGAAACTGCTATGATCACTGTTCTTCATGGGTACCCACTTCACTGCTTTTAGAACAAGTCACAGAAGGATTTTCTTATGATGAATTTTGCAAGACCCCTCGGTGTGTTGTACAGCAGCAGAAGAGAGATGACTACTTCCACATCAGCATTAAACCAGCTGACTGATACGGTTTAGAACAAGATGGTGCACAGGTAGCTGAAAGCAAATCTGCTCAGGACACTCAGGACACAACTGCACACAAAGCAGTTGTAGCACTTCAGTGTGTGGATATAAGATATTTGGCAAGTTCCTCAAGAGGCTGAGCTGGTTTTTTAGCGCAGCTGCTCAAAAATGAGAAACAGAAAAGACATGAAATAATGTGAAGACTTGAGCTGGAAGTAGGCTTCTCTTTTACTCTGTTGACATTTTTGATTAACTAAGGAAGAGACCTTTCTCCACCAGACCAAAGGAAGAAACCCTTCTCTCTCCCCCTCCAGCTCGCCAAATCACTGTCTTTCATAAGGGCCTGGTTTGGAAAAAAGAATGTTTTTTTCAGCCAGCTCTACTTCTTGGAATAGTCATTTTCCCTAGTGTTGACAAGGTTTTGTAATATATTGTTAGAATATTTTATGCATCATGTGGTGCCTGGCATGTGCAAGTTTTATTTTAGGCCTTGTACCACAGCAGTAAGTCACTCTGGTGAACCTTTACAAGATACAGGCATATCACTGTATTGTAAACAAAGGGGTATCAAGTGACCTACAGCCATTAACTGATGAAATCAAACAACCTAGCACTTTTCTTTTTTTTTTTTATTTTCCACACAATTGTTTGATGTGGCTTGAAAACCCAAAGGCAGATGACTAGTGTGATATTTCACCCCCTCAGAAGATCAATTAAATGAACTGTGGTTATGAGCGTTTCGGTGCAGTGTCCACACTATGCCCTGTTACACCAGACATTTTCTGTTAATGTCATGACACAGTTGTTAAGCCAAATTTAGCTTCTTCATGGAGAAAACAATTATGCATTCTAACAGCAATATGATCACATACTTTGGGAAAATACTTATAGTTTGGCTATAGTTAAGCCGTTGCTGCTAATCAAGAAACGCTTATGACCACTGAAAGGATTTAAAATAGGCAACCTTGAAAATTACAAACTAATAACAGGAATCTGTACTGACTTTCTCCTTCATTAAGACTTCAAGCAAAATGAAGGATGACTATAGACCAGAGCTGTTTCAGCTGTGTATAAATTCAGTGTTTTCACTAGATTGGTTAAAACAATCCATCAATAATTCTCCTGCCTTCCTTGTGACATTTTATTTCAGTGTCCACTGAACTCTTTCCGTGCCTTACCTCATTAATGACACAAAATAATAGGTTTTGGAAACAAAGAATTGTTCTTCCTCCCTGTTATCTGGTAAGAATCATGACCAAGAGCTGGGGTTAAAAATCAGAAACACAGGCTATTTGCAAGTATTAGCTGGTAAGAACAAGTCACACTTCTGGTATCAAGAAATTAAGATCTTCCTTCAAATCAACATTTCCTGATATTAATTAGTGATAACAGAATCCTGGAAACAAATCAAACATGGATTTAAATTTGAAAGAAAAAGAAAAGAAAAAAAGAGCAGTGTTATGGCTACAACTAGAAAAATGCCCCAGTACACAGAGCGCTGACTTCTATATTGTATAGGGCAGGAAACAGTTTTCTCATCCTCTGAAACTTCTTGCTATTACAGAATTTTTCCTGCTCTGTGCTGGGATGAAACCAAGAACTTTCAAAGTTTGTGTGAAACACCCAGAAGTCACACCCTATCCAAGAACAACCGTGTTCACATCCCTGCCTCGCCAGCACCGAGCAAAGGTCCTGCAATGGGAGGAGTGGGAGCCTGGTCTGGCTATCTGTCTCCTTTCAGCCAGCTCTTCCACCAGAGAAACTGCTAAAACTGATACACATTCCTGCAGATTCACTTCTGACGAGTCAACATGTTCTGACAAATACTAGATTAAGCAGAAAATTCCGAAAGTGCTCTATTTCTGACACAATGCGGAGGCAGGTATATTGTTTACTGCAACGAGTTTAAACCCACATAACAGAGGTGGCACTGCAGTGGAGAGAGAAAACAATAGGTGGGACAATAGTTTGATGAGGATGAGGCTGATTCGACCACTAACACAGGAAAAAAGATGCAAGGTTACTTGACAGGCACCTACTTCATTGCAGTATATTCTGTGCTATGTTCTTGTTTTAGTGTGTTCCCAAACAGATTTCCCACCCAGTATGCCCCTCAGGCTTCAGTTTACAATCCTGCCCGTTCTGCCAGTGTCCAAAAAAGAGGATCCCTAGCTGTCCAACAGTAAATATCAGTGTGCACTGCAGAGGGATTTAGAGCCATAAATACTGTCTGAATTATTCTTTCCCTCAAACCATATCTTGGGATGTGAGGCCAGTATCCTTGGACAGGCTACTATGCCTACACTCAGTGAAAAAGAGCTGGTTTGAATCTGTGCTCCAGAGACAGAAAATTCCTCCTTAGACTCCTTTAGCAAGTAAGATCAGAACCAAAAATCTAAACAGCAAGAACAAGGGCGGGATTCAGTGTAATGGAAAGGGTGCCAGGAATAATAGGTACTGTATTTCACCACTACAGGAAGGAAAATATGAGCAATAAATGAAAACCAAGTCATCTTTGCTCTCATATTTGAGCTCCATCATGGTGTCTTCCTTTGTATGCTTTTGAGGTGTTTCAGCCATTCTCCCAGACAGAAATCTGCTGATTCCCACCTATGGGAAGCTCAGGCTCAGATTTAGGGGCAGCTCTAGGGAAGATGATTCCCCACAATGCATGTCTCCAGCACACTGTGAATCTTTCCTCAAGGTGCCTGAAATCAGAAGGCACGTGTTCTACTGTGAGACATTTATAGCTTAGGGAGGACATAGGAGTTATGTGAAGAGTACAACGTGCAACTCCTTTTTTTAGGTATTTGTTTTTTCACAGTCCTTACATCATATAAACTCCACTGTTCCTCAGTGAGACTCCCGTGACATTCAGTGCCTCTTTTTATCTGCATTTGACCCAGGGTCTTTCTCTATTCCACTGCTGCAACCTGCAGCACAGAGCAGCTGTTTCGTAACCTCCAGACCGGGTCGTTGCAAACACACTTCACTTGAATAAATCCTGAAGAAGCAGGGAAATTTTGGAGAATTAAAAATACAGTCCCACATCTCTTCAAAGGTCCAATAATCCCAGTTCTCCTTAGCACATACTCAAATTAATTTCAGTTGAACTTAAGGACTTAAAGAGTTTTGCTGAATTAGAACTAAAATACTTAGGCTATAGATACTCTTTTTGAGTCCAGGTCAAAGAACTAGCTGCTGTCTATCACTTGCAGAAGGAAAACAAGTAATCCCTTTGTTTCTCTACTTGGTTTGAATGATGGATGCTGTTCATTCTTTTGTGACCTTCCCGTGACTTGTGTGTCAGTGTGTCTTTCATGTGTCTACAGAAGACTTGTAAGCTTTGGCCTGTGATAACTATCAGCAAGCAATAGCTGTGGATGGATTATTCCTTTTGTAAGAGATATTTTCAAAGCCTGTGTCATGATGTGCTCATTTTTCCATCCCTCAGCAGACAGTAGCTTGTATAACTGATGAGAAAATGGATTTTGGTCAACTGTTGCAAGTGGCTAGTAATGATGTGTCATATTAGTGTGCTTGGCAACCTCAAGTGCTATGGCTGATGCTTCCCACCAGGCTTGGGCTTGAGTGTTTGTGTACCGTTAATAGCTTCCCAATGGCAATCTTTTTCCTACAAGCTACATTCTCCCCAATTACAGCCTGCGTGATAATTTATAAATATTGAATATCATGTCTCTCCTTCACACTGTTTGCCACTGTACTGACAAGTCAGGCCTGGCCTTACTGTGGAATAATGTTCAAGCTGTCATATGCAAGGAAGCCAAGAACTACTGTCTTGCTTGTTTTCCTAGCCCTCATTTCAATGACTTGGGTCCCATCTAACTCTCATTACAAAGCACTCCACGGATCTGCACAAGCTAAGACAACATGCTGACATGAAAGCATTTTGTAGGTCGTTTGGTGCATCTCATTTTTCCTTGCTTTATTACAGAAAAGGAAATGACAGGGTCCTGTGTATCCCACATAGAGCATGTTCGTACAAGAACACATTTAGTCCTCAGATAGGTCATTTCAGGTTAGGTAACAGCAAAGCAATGTAATTCGTATTTCAAAAACTCTGTTATCAGCAAATGGTAGCCTTTTCCCCTCTTTAAGGAAATATTTGATAGTATAGTTTTATATTTTTTCCAGTGGCACAGTACGTCTTGTTACTCTGGGCTCTGACAGACTTCTGGTGGCAAATTTATATAGGATAACCCTAGTGATTACTGCTCGTGAGAGTTCAGTTAGCTTTGCTATTGTGGACCAAAATCCATGTCAACTCAGGACTGGATTCCCTGTGGATCAGAGGCTCTGCCATGGAGGCAGCAGCATCATTTAACAGGAGAGGGCAAATGAGAGGGGGAGATGATAACAGCTCCATCCAACTTTAATCTGTTGTTGCAAATCTGTCACAGCACTGGCACCAGCTTCAACAGACTAAGCCCACAGCTGACGTGTCTTCATCAGACTTTTCAATTAATTGATTGCATCTGTAGACAAGATTGGTCATATGTAAAACACTTACTGAGGTTAACCTGTTTTCAATGTCTACAGATTAAAAATATTCTTAAGTCAGAATTGCTAACCTGAATTAGCTACCTTGAGTTAAAAGAACTGAGAGAACAAGGAAATTTGAGAGTAAATCAACAACAAAC